AAAATTATGCCCCGCCTCTTCCGTGACAACTCTCACACATTCAAAAAGAGTCTTAGTACTGTGTGTGTGTGTGTTCAACTTTAGTCTTGTGTATGTGAGAGATAAACGTCTGTGTGTGTGAGCGAGCTGATAGTGTATGTGAGCGAGAAAGTTAACGTTTGTGTGTGTGTGACATTTTAGTAGTATGTATACGCAATTTGAGTATTTTTTGAGTGTGCGTGGCTATTTTTTTGGAGTATGCGAGAGTTTTTGGTAGTGTGTGAGAGACAAAACGTAAATTTTGTCCTAAACGGCCCCTCATACTTTTCCCTTCACAATTATGCACCAATTTGCGTTGGTCTATCACGAACAAACCCTACGAAATATATTGATGTTTGTGGTTGTTATGGGACAAAATCTGAAAAGTTCAAGAGAAGTTAAAAGAATAGAATATGCAACATGCCGTTGCAGTAGAGAAACGGATATTTAAAGGAATTAATTTGATTTTTAAAGCAGATTTGTACAAGAATAAAAAGCATATTTGACAACATTTGCACCCCAAAGAAGTTTCAAAATCCAACAGATGGGCCTGATCAAAACTTAAACCATCAACTGATAAATACTTTAGCTAGCCCAAACTGAAAAGATGCAGAGTGACTTAAAGAAGAGCTGAAGATGGAGTCGGGACTCACGAGGCCCAACGCTGACGCTGCCGTCCTCTCTGACGGGGGGATCATGTCTGCAGTGAGAGTAGAGGGAGGGTCGATGCCTTTTGTCACCTTCTGCTGGATGAAATGCATGGCCAGAGCAAACTGCTCCGGGGTCAGTTTGCCTGTCTGCTTTGTGTCAGCGAGTCCCCTGTAGAAAACAAGACAGTTTTTCCTTTTAAAAGAGAAAAACACGGCAGCTTCTGAGAATTAATACCAGCATCGCTCGCTGGTTAAGACTCTGCTTTAAGACGGTTTAAAATTCCTAAATTAAACAACGGGGAAAGATTCAACATATTCTGAAGGTAACAGAGATCATGAAGAAAAGTTCTGACAGTAAAATTAAGCATAAAGTTATGAGGTCAAAGACCTTAGCATCAACAAAAGCTGCTATCGCTTGTTATGTCCTCTGTATCAAAATGTTCAGTTAACTGAACAGTTTTCCTGCAGAACAAATGTTTTATTTTACACTTTAAAAATTAAAAGTATCTGCAAATATATTAAGGTTTAAACAAGTAATGTTTAAACATTGCTTATAGATATCATTATAAAATAGACTTATTTTATACTGAAGGAAGAAAATCCTTTAATTTTGAACTTAAAAAATTAAGTAAAATTCAGCTTGTAATTTCATCAAATTTAGAAATAATTATCTTTAATCAGTAGCAAAATTGTTGACAATGACTATTAATACAAATGAAACAATTTAAAATTATGGAATACCGAGGACCATTTTCTTAGCCACATGGTCTCATTTATTTTGCTGAATTTTACTAAATAGATAAAAAAAATAAATCAACAGATTGGATTTTTCTAAACTTCATCAGTGTGGTGTTATTCTTCAACAATCAAAGTTTATTTTATTTTAAGGCTTTTCACACCTTTACTAGAAGCACTAAAAATAATGTTGATGTGTTTACAAAGTTGTTTAAGGCCAAATTAAAACTCCTTAAATCCAGATTTCTGGATATTCTGTTGCCTTAATATATCTAATAAAATATTCCATGCACATTTTAAAAGAATATCAGAGTGTGATTTGCTTTTCAAGCCGCTATAAACGTCTGAAAGACCATTTGCATTGACCAAATCTCACCAGATCTGCGCCAGCATGGTCTGAGAGAGGTTGGACTGCATGAAGATCTCAATGATCTCAGTGCCGGTGATGAAGCCGTCCCCATCAGAGTCCGTTTTCTTAAAAAGCTCCCTATATTTTTCTCTGTCGGCCACCGGTACCACCCAGTTCACTGCAGCCTGGAGGGAGCGAAAGACAACAAAAAACAAAGTGTAGTGTAATATAAATAGGAAGGTTTAAAAAATAAAATAAAATAAAATAAAATAGTATTTATGTTTGTGGTGCATTTAATCCCCAGAGAATCCGCAGACTTACAGCGCCTTGTAAACGTTTTCAAATCCTTGAGATTTTTCACATTCTGTCGCATTACAGCTTCAAAAATAAACATGGTTTGACGTGACAGCAGAAAAAGCTGTCCAATCAATTACGTTTAAAGCCTTTTGCTACTTTAATGTCAATCTAGTTCAAGTGTACATTTTAAAGTTTAATGCCTGCTGCATCTACACTGAAAGAATTATAAACTATTCATGATTTTTCTTAGAGTTACAATGGCAACGTTACCTTCAACAACATTTTGTTTGAGACGAATCTAAAAAATTTGCAGATAAACATTAATGCAAGCAAGTCCCAACTATTCTGATAAAGCCACTTGCTTCCCTTTCAAGGGAACCTGTTTCTCAGAAAGTCACGGGTGAAAAAAATCCCTGCAGGAGAAACAAACTGCCCCACATACAATGCGCTCAACAATGTGGTAGAGCAAGTCCTACTGTTGGTAACAGTGAAGTTAATACATGAAATACTAGTCACTCCAAAAGTCAAAGCGCAGAAACTGTAACACGTATTTAATGTGGAGCTTTTAAAAAAAAATCTGAATAGAACTAACCAATGCAGCAAGCAGAGCATCTTTTATTTTCCAAAAATAAAACATATGATGAATAATATTTTCAAGTATCTCCAAATTTAAGAAGAAAAATTACACTGAAGAGCAAGTTATTTATGACTTAACACTTTGGCTATTCTTTATAAAGATTCAATATAAAGTTTTCCTCATAATGATATACAAAAGGAAGGAGATACAATGCAAATTTTATATCAGATTTAATACGAAACAGTCAAACTCTGTCTGATGCACCAACTATAGGTGGGCATTTATCGTATCGTTTATCATTTACAGTGATACATTTTTTATAAGATGTCACAATAAAGTCCAATTAATGTTTAAAAAACAGGATTGTTACTTTTACTATTTTTTTCACTGTTTGTTCAGTGCGAATATCAATAAATGTCAACAAATGTGAAAACATCATTAAAAGCAATAACTCTGTTCAATTTAGTGATAAATATCACACTTCATTATGCGACTGTCGTCCTAAAGTAGTGTAATATGAATAGGAAGGTTTTAAAAAAATAGTATTTATGTTTGTGGTGCTATAATTGCTGTGCCATGCAGTCACAGCCAGATAATTGCCTAATAAAGTAGTGATAAATAGTTATTATTGTTATCACGATACTACCACAAAATATTGTGATAAAACTCTAAGTCCACCCGTAGCTCTAACAATGATTGCATTGGTGGAGAAAGAAAAGAGCAGTTTTATGTCGACGTACCGCTGGAGTGGATGCTGAGCTGGATTTAAAGGAGTGTTTTGGAGACAAGGTGACAGCGCTGGGGCTGAGGGCCGAAACGCCACCCAGAGCAGATGCAGCGCTCCCCATAGGAGGAGTGGCGCTCCTCAGAGAAGGAGAGCTCCGCAGAGCGGCCGGGCCGGATCCGAGGCCGGGCAAAACGGCCACAGCGCCGGGAAGAGCAGGCGCAGATTTCTTTCTTTTGGAAGGTGGGATAAGAGAAGGAGGCAGGCTGCTTGGGACAGGCTCCTTCTCCATGGTGCGATAAACGAGATGCAGGGCCTGGAACATGATAAACATCATCTATGTTACATTTCTCTTTAGGGAACTGTAAAAAATGAAAAGGATCTACGCATACCACTATGAATTCCTCTTTGTCCAAATGTCCATCTTTGTCCACGTCACTAAGGTCCCAAATCTATAGTCAAAGAATAATTATCAAGATCTGATTCCTTTGAAAAGTTAAACAACAGCACAGTGTTGAATAGTGAGTTTGCATTACCTTTCCCAACACATCCAGAGGTAGCTTGGAGTTTATCAAAACAGGTCGGACCTTGTCACCGGAGAGGAGACCTTTCACAGGGGACAGACTTTCAAAAATCGCCTCGAACTTCCCTTTTTCATCAGGCTAGGAGAGAATGAAAACATTCAGATGACAAGCTTGTCCATTTATTCTTCTTGAGAGAAGTCTTGTAAATGTGTTTTGGCTCACCCTAACTGCCCAGTCAGATGTTGTTGATGATGCAGTTACTAACGGGCTGTCAGTGTCTCTCTGGAAAAGACAGGAGACAATATGAGGATGCAGTAATATCCATGTGGACAGGAGGGGAAAAACCGTATGGAAAACTGGTATGAAAGTTCTTAAAATAAAAAAAGAAAATCTTTATAAGCTGTTAGATATTTTAGTCAAAGTTCCTACAGTCCTTTTATAAGACTTTCTCTGCCATAAAATGAATAATCAGAGTTTTCTCCAGTTGTATGGAGCATATACTAAAAGTGAAAACTCTTCTTTTCACCAGATATTACATTTTTCCCTTTCTTATGAAAAAAAAGCTGCATTGAAATACTTCTTGTCACAAAGTCAATATGAATCATTGACAAACCGCCAATTGCTTTTATAAAAGAAGCTCTGCTTTAAACCTCAGCTGGAAATACTCTATAAAATGCAGAAAAGTAAAAACATACAACACAGGAGTAGTTAAAGATTATGGCCACCATTATTATACTTTTACTAATAAGTTTATCTGTTATAATAAAAGCAATTACATGATTAAAAAATAAATATAAATTGTAACTCCTGAAAACGTCGTCATCATACCGTGACAATCTCGTATCGTGCCTAATTACCTTTTAGAGACAATAAAACCCACTAATTGTTTTCCCAAAAGATTGCAGAGGTATTTTAATCCCATCAGATCAACAGCAGCTAGAGATAAAGTAATTTGAACACTCACAAATTTTGGCACAGCTACATTTTGGTTGAGGTTGTTAAGGCTGATGTCATTTCCACCCTGTGCTGATGCCACCAGTCTCATCGCAATGAAGAAACCCTACAAAAGAGGAACAAAGAGGAACAAATCTGGTGCTTTCTGCATACATCAGCATCCAACCAACAAAGTAGCTCTATGGAAAGAATGACTGAGATACCCTTTTATCCAAATAGCCTTTTCTATCAGAATCTGCCAAATCCCATATCTGAAAAAGTGAAAATAATAATAAAAAAATATTATTAGATGGGATTTACTGAATACATTTAGAGTCAACATGTCAATCAGTTCAAGACCCACTTTTCCAAGTGTATTGTCTGATAACCCAGACTTTTTAAGAAACTGAGCTGCATCGCCTGCTGATATTTTGCCTGTGTTTGCTGGATCAAGCTGCACAAAAATCAGAACAGTTAAATATTAGATTATTTATAACATTTAGGAGCCATGAAGAGTTGAACGAGAAAATGCCGGTAACAAAAACTCTTACCTGTCTGTAATAATTTTCAAATGCTGCGTTTCCATTCGATAACTGTAAAAGAACGAAAAGAATGACAGGTAAAAATGTCAACTGTCAACACGCACTAGTTAAGTTAACTCAGAATGTAGATTGGTGCTAAATAAGCAAAACATTTAACACGTAATTAATAAACAACACATTTCTACAAGAAAACAGCTTTAATTTTTATGTAGGTACGTTTAATTTTCACCGAAACGTACAATTAACCCATCACAACTCTACCTAGCTAACTATGTTTACTCAGTGGATAACGAAAACTCGCTAATTCGGTTTAACTGACACATACTTAATACGGCTTATGGCGTCGTGACGTGAAAATAGCACACATAAAAAACGTCACTGTTATTTGATAACCACGGACATTAAAAATGTAAGACTTTCTTTATCTTGTTTGACGTTACCTGACTGAGGGTCATGAGCGCCGCCATATTTCCTGGTGTGTGTCGTGAACGCGCGCCGCGCACACGCCCATAAGGGGCGCGAGCGGCTTTAGAACACCGGCGAGGGGCGTGTTTCCGGGAATGTGACGTCATCAACAAAAGGCAGGAGAGCAGTGTTTTTTGTTTGTTTTATCTGTGTGGTTTCTTTTAAACCTGTACCTGCAAGGCCCTGTAGTGACACCGATATTAATTGTACAGTTGGTGGCTATTAGTTTATGTTACTTTGAATTGTGTTGTGTTGTTTGTTAATTTTTTTTGTTGTTGTTGCTGTTTATTCATGTCGTTTTCAACTTTTCGTTAACTTTTTAACTTTTATGCGTCACACTCAGTAGACTGCATCTTTTTAATTTCGTTGTCCCTATGTAAACGTGACAATAACAACAAAGAATTCACTGATTGATTGATGTTATTTCATCTGTTGATGATGTTAATGGTTTGAAGTATGTCTGTGAAAAATGTACCTTGTTAAGAAAGAACGAGAATATGATGCTTATTAAGATGCAATCAAAATAAACATTGCAGTGTTCTTTTGTTGTTGTTTTGTTTAAATAAAAGTGCAGGTTTAGGCCAAAGAATAAGGGGAGAAATGTGTGGTTGCCCTTAAATTGTATCAAAGAGCTTTAGTTATATTTTGACAAAAATATTTCTCTTTGAAGATGTGACAAACATAATGTGGGGGAAACATGTTAGTATTTATGGTGTGGGCCACTGTGACACAATATTGTTGTCCACAATAAACATGTTGCAGTCCCCATTGGAAACACAAAATTATTACATTGTTCTAAAACAAATTTAGTAAATTAAATGAAAAATATAGCTATTTGAAGCTAAAATTATGTTAAATTGAAGGCAAAAATGTCTGTAATGGTAAATTTATTTGAAAATATGATGAAAAGCTGAGGTAAATTTTGTTGAACTTGAAGGCGTTAGTCTATAAATTCAAATATATTCAAAATCAAATCTATGTAATTTTTATTGGCTTACTGCCAAATTATATCAATCAGTCCCTCCAGTTTCTTGGGAATTATCATGGAAATTTATGCAAAAATAAACAACTCCCCACATTTTTTGGGAGTTAATTAGATTTTTCTCAAAAACTGTCAAACAGCTGCCTTAGCCTTAAATGATGTCAGATTATAGTTCATGATATATGCAGCGAGTAATAAAAAGTTGCATTTACTGTCATAAATAAGCACAAATATTTCCAGAGATTAGTACCACAAACACTGATTTTTATTGTAAAAAAAATAGCAAAAAGAATCACAAAATCCTAGAAGGACTGAAAAGATGTTCAATAATATTTAATTTTAAGAATTCATTGACATTTTAACAGTTTGTGAACAGGTTTTATCAATACATTCTGGCACAGAATCAAAGAATATTCATGATAGAATGGCCTAGTCAAAGTACAAACCTAAATTCAATTGAGAATCTGTGGCAATGCTTTAACATTGCTGCTCTTTAATATAAATAAATCTAAAAAAAAAATCTTAAAATAAAAAAAGGAAAGCCAACAAATTTCACTGTGTAGATGTAAAAACCTGCTTCATAAGTGTTGGATAAATATGACGTTAAAAAAATACTCCACACTTTTAAAATACTTTGTTTTGATCTTTAACAAAAAAAGTCCACAAAAACTCATTGAAGTGTGTAGTTTCAAAATGTCAAAGCATCTGAGTTGTTATATGTAGACACTACAGGAGTAAATGAATATTACTGAAATACAAAAACTGCTTTGCAAAAGGCTTGCTATGCAAACAGTCATTCAGTTTGCAGGATTTCATGCATTTAATTTAGACACTCCTTTACATAATGGTACCCCACATAGGGCTTATATGGACAGTTTAGTGCTACAGAAGTTGAATCATTAGCAAGAAAACCATAAATAAACTGAAATGAGCCACTTCCAAATTAAAGTCATGTGCTTGTGCAGCATAAATAAATGAGGAGACAGGAAAAGTATTATTCTTTTAATAAAACCTTTGGCATCAATCACATTCTGTCCGGTAAAACCTGTGTGTGTGTGTGTGTGTGTGTGTGTTACCCTTGTGTGAGCAGCACCGGCACGTAAGCATCTGTTTGTCCAGACTTTCAGGATTAAACTGCACATCCCGTCACGCAACAATTCAGAAAAACCTTGCTGAGAAATAAAAAAAAAATGTACTCACAGGACTTTTTTTATATATATAATTTCATTCACCTCTCAAGAACGAAGAGTAAAAGGTTACAGTCAGTGCCATAGAAACAACCAAAAAATAAATTATTTTTTTTTCCTTTTTTTGATTAGGTTTGAATCTGATTTGTTTCATCTAGAAAAAAAATAAAATAAAAAAAGACAGATGTTGGTGACTTTTGAAGAACTTTTATAGTAACCACCTGAGAACCCCGTCAGAAACCGAGATGGCTCGATCAAGAAAATCAAGAAAAACAGCAGATGTCAGTGCCGACCGAATGTGTCGCTAACAAAATGAGGAATGGAGTTTGTTGGTCAGAAACCACAGAATCATTTCAGCAGTTCAAGGGAACCATGACAAAAAAAAAAAAAAAAAAAAAAAAAAACCAAAACCCCCACAAACCCCCCCAACACACCCCCTCCCCATGTTTTCTACTTCAAACGTTAGGTTGTGTCCAGACCTCAGGGAAAAGGATGCACAGCAGCCACAACACCCCTGGAATGACGGGACAGTTTCTGGGGAGGAAGGGGCTGAAATTCTTTTTTTTTTAGATAAATCTGTTTTAGCTACACCGTCTCAAAGCTCATCTTTGGGCTTTGACTCGTCGTCTTCATTTTCTGTATGAGTCTCGTCCTTTGCATCTTCATCCTCCTCTTCGTCCTCTTCCACCTCGTCGTCGTCTTCATCGCCCTCAGTGGCTTGCTCTTTGTTCTTCTCCTCTTCCTCTTTTCGCTTCACCTCATCCTGCTCTTGCTTCATTTTCTTCTCCGGTTCCTGAGAAAAAGGTTGCAACAATCAGACAATGCTTCTTGTTGGGTCAAAGGTCACAAATACTTCTTTTTTTTTTTTTTAGATTAGTAAGTAGTACAACAAAATTAATGGTGCAGCTCTGCTTAGGGTATTTATAAACAGTCAAAACGCAGATTTGACTGTTTTAAAGAGACTGTAGTAAAGATTTTTACTACTTCCATTTTTTAAAATTCTTTCCTTTACATTTTTTAATTTAATCATTTCTGATTGGCCATTACACCTTCATTGAGTTTTAACATTTCATTTTTATACATCCTATTTGGTCTATTACCAACATATGACATTTTAGAAGCATCTTTCTTGTTTTTTCTCCCCAAACATTTCAATTCAGCTACCATATTTCTCCATTTTTATTATAATCATTAAATAGTAAAACTATTTGTATTTATTATATTTTTTTAAATTGAGTACTTCCCTCAAATTAGATTTTTCTTAAATTATAAATCTTGCTTTATTTTTATTTTCAAGTACAATAGATAATTTTACTTGTTTTATTTTTACTGTTTTAAAATCATTACCATCATTTATAATTATTGCTACTCATTAAAAAGGATTAATTTGTTAAAATTTTATTTAATAAACTCTCACATCTCACAAACTACCATCATACCTTCGTCACGCCCCACGTCTCCTTCCCGATTTCTTCAGCTTCCTTCACGTCGTCGGTGATCAAAAAGTTGTCAAAGATCGTACCAGATTTCACCTAAGAGGCAGGTACAAAATGTTACACTGTTCTTGGTATTTTGTTTCTGCAACAACAACTTGGCAACATAACCGTCTCCTCACCTGCCAAAGGTCAAGGCCAAGAACGCCGATGTTGTCGAACTTGTAGATGGTGGAGTCGGGACTGTAGTCGGGATTGTCAATTTCAGGATGAACCCAGACTCCCTTGTAGTTGGGGTTGTCGATCTGTTTGGGTTTCCACTCTCCCTGAAAAAAACAAAATGGTGTCAAACAGGAACATCAGCATAACATCCGATTAAAGAGAGAAACCAATCAGGCTTTTGGTTTCTTGAGGTCTGAAACTGGTTCACATTTGTTGGAATCAATCGAAAATGAAGGAATTTATGGAATTTGAAAGCTCTTTTAAAAAAAAAAAAAAAAAAAAAGCAAAAAACAAACATAGTTCTATATTTGATGGCCAATAAAGGGAAAACAGATCCAGTCCAACCTCTGATCTATCTCTGTTTGATCGTTTCTGTGTAAATGTGGCCTACTTTGTACTCTGGGTTGGGGATCATCGGTGGCTCCCATTCTCCATCCATGTCTTCATCCCAGTCTTCAGGCTTCTTAGCATCAGGATCAGGAATGTTTTCAGGTTTATCCCAGTCCTAAAAACAAAACCGAACAATTTAAAGTTTCAAGTAACAATGGAAAGAACATTAAAAAACAAGGTGGAGCAGAGGATTAGGTTCTCTCACCTCGGGTTTTGTGTCATCGGCGTCGTCGATCTTGGGGCGGTCATCCCAGTCTTCTGGTTTCTTGGCTTCGGGATCCTTAATTTTCTTGGGAGGCAGGAAGTCCCAGTCTTCCTCCAGACTGCCAGATTCCACTTTCTCGTTGTCGATCTTCACCTCATAGGTCTGATCTGGGTTCAGGATCAGCGTGTACAGGTGGGTCAGCTCATCGTCCTGGAAGGAAACAAAGAGGAAACGGTTGAGTTGAGCTTCTTGTGCAACACACGATGGCACCGTGGAAGGTAAATCTTTAAAACAAAATGTTACCTTGCACTTAATCTCCTTCTTGATCAAGTGATTCTTGCCCTTGTAGTTAAAGATGACGTGGACTTTCTTGGTGCTGTAGCCACAGATGTCAGGGCCTAGATCAAACGAACATGGTTAACATAAACAACACTTAAAACTATGAGCAGTAAATCTTCATAGCTTACAGAACATGATTTATTTTTTACCATTTCTATTCTAGTTATATCTACCAGTTTACAGAATAAAAAAGCAATAATTCCTATTATTTTGTTTTATTGCTGAAGTATTTCTTATTATATCATACATTTTTCTTTCTCTACATATTTTTGTAATTTAAGCCACCATTAACAAATGTTACAACCACTAATGTATTCCTTTTTCTACCATTAATCTTTATGAATAACATAATAGTAGATTTTATTCATAATGTTCTTTACATCTTGAGATTTTAAAAGGCTTTAAAGAAATGGCTATTAATTTATACTATTATCATAATATTACTAATATGCAAATTTTATCAAAATTTTTCCTTGTTTACTCTTCACTTTACTCGATTTTAATTACTGCCATTTTTATAAGATATATATTCCTACTTTTATTGTTATTTTAATTTTTTATTATTTTTTTACCAAACATGATGTAGTATGAGGATTCCCCATGCATTTCAGTCTGCTCCAAGTCAGCAGGGAAGACCTTCACGTAGCCGCCACCACAGTCGATCTTCTGCTCATGCTTGACCGTAAACTGAATGACCAAAGACTTCCCCTCGTTGCTGAACGGGTCGAAGCTGGCAGAGACGGCGTAGAAGCGGGCATCTTGGCTCGTCTGCAGACCTGAAATGGAAAAACTATACATTTCAGTAGTGCAAAAAAACCTGTTATAGTTAATTATAGTTAAAAAGATGCTTCAATTGATAGACTGCTTCTGCACAACCTCTCTTAAAATAGCTTATTTGCTATTGCATGTTTGTGTAAAGTTTCAGGCGTTACAATTTATAATGTAAAGTAAATACACCCTCAAAGTCCTATTTACTATCTAAATGTAAATCTGCCACTCTGCTACAGCAGTAAATATAATATTTAAACTAAATAATTTTTGCAAATCAATTAAACATTTATTCCAAGAAAAAGGCTTAATTTATCAAAGATTGTTTGCGACGTTTATTCTTTGAAATCCTATACTTAAGTTGAGCTTGGTGACATCATAAAGGTTATTTTAAATGCAAATTTGTTTTGACATGCAACTCTATTGGACAATTGACATTTTAATGGTAAGATAAGGACTAAAAAATAAACCTGTTGAAGAATAAGGATGTAAAAGACAAGTTTCTCTTTCACTTTAAAAAAAAAAACCAAAAGTGGAACAGTCATAAGCTCTGAAGCATATGTAATTAACATGAGCCCTTATATGTACGCTAGTATTAACCAATAAACATCTGTTTGGGCTAAATGATGTGAATTACCTTTGTCTTTTTCAGCATCTCCATAGAAGTTTCCAGCAGTCAGTTTCCACTCTCCATAGTCAGACTTGTGCTTGGAGTTAACCCAGCGACTTCTCCATTCATCTGTCCGAAGAAGAAGCAGCAGCAATTTGACCGTTAATGACTTTGTAGAAATACATCAAATTCAAGCCCTGATTCTTAACTCTAGTAATCAGTTGCACAGTAATTATTACCAGTTAGTTTCAGAACATGTGGGCGACGAAAAACCTCACATTTGCAAGATTTGCGAGCTAAAAAGGAAATTTAGCTAACACAAATTAACATTAATCACATCACTAAAACAGATTTGTAACCTATCACCCCGAATGATAGATGTCACAACTGTGTCGTAAATTTAAAATAACCTGGGTCAGAGTGAGACTTACCACCGTCCAGAAACTCCTCCCGAAAATAAACCTTAGCGTGAGCGCAGTAGACTGCAAATATTACCACAACTAAACCTAAAAGCTTCATTTTTCTCCTTTCAGCTTCACGTCCCGCTGCTCACAGAGGCACCTCCGGGCTAAACAGCAAGTTTGTGGAAGAAGGAAGAGAAGGGAATATTTTAGAGTGGCTACGGCGAACAGATGGCTGCCTCTGATTGGACAGCGGGTTGGTGTGTCTGGACCAATCACGGTGGACCACGAAAACACAGGAACCAGTGTCGAATGAAGCTAGATCAGCTGACCGTTTTATGTTCTGTTGCCATAATGGGAATTATCCAGTAGGGGGTGCTAAACGAGACCTCGTGTACCAGTCTGTTTTGGATTCATGTCGCATTTTGCATATCAGGTCAGGCACTTTCTACGTTTAACAATGACTTTTTCCACTATTGTTATTATTAGAATTAACTCTACCCTTTCTCTCTCTATCTCTCTTTTCTCTTTCTTTTTAAAAGATTTAAAAAAAAATCAGATTTTCCCGTTTAATACAGTTAGTTATTATAACTAAAAATAAATTAGCTTTTCGTTTCTTGTGGTTTAACTTAAATTCAGCTAAAAAGATAAGATACGATAAGATACTTAATTTAGTATATCAACAATGATACTTTTATGAAGGAACAAACTGTTTCATCCAAATTTGTATTAATTTTTAGGACAAATTTAACAAATTTACCACATAAATGCACACCTTATCTTATCTTTTTTGTCTAGTTTCTATTGTGCAATGAGGCCAACCTTATCTACTCTGTCAGTAAACACCAGGCTGATATTCTTCACATTCTATTGCTGTATTAAAGATTACCCAGTGGAGGGCGCCATATTAATCAACAAGATTACAATCTTTTATTGCCATAGTGAAAATTATCCACAAGATGGTGCCAGTATCACCTAAACAAAAAGTTTGGTCCGCTCAATAAATTCTGAGACAAACTCTTCACTTTAAAAATCAAAAATGTGGACAGAATAAACTTCACAAGAGTCCACTAGCAACCAGCAGTGCAGAAGATTACAACCTTTGTGCCTGTAAAATCTAATCGCTGTTGTTTTTTACACATCATGACATTAATAAACAACATATGCTGGTTTTAGCAAAGGAAAACTGTGAAAAAAATGGGGTCGTCTTTTTTAATTGAGGTTGTGAATAAAACAAGTGGTGATATATGGCAACTAACAAAATCCAGAGATGTTGTTCTAAAATTAATCCAAAAATCAGGCTTGGCAGTTGATCAACAAGGGTATACAAAGGTCTTAGAAATGAAGTTATCTTCTTCCTTGATATCATTAAACAGGCAAAGGCATCACCAAAAAGTTCTGGCAATTATTTTGACAATATATATAAAAAATAAATCTTGAACAACAATATTTAAGATTGGTGGGACAGAAAGCCTAGAGGTTAACCACTTTAATTTTTCTGTGAAACCACTTCACATGTTTTAAAGAGAAGAGTAAATTTACTGCATCTGATTCAGTTTGACTTGAAAGCAAGTCCCTAATCAAACTACATGTCGTCATTTTGTTGAAAAAAATATATTACTAAGAACAAAGAAGGAACTGTTAGTACACATGCCCTTCGTGCTACAACACTTTCATACTCTATAAGATGGTAGAGTATGCATAAAAACTAAAGTCAGCGTGTTTGGAATAGCTTTCTGATGGGCCCATTTGCTACCTTGTGGTAGTAGGGGAGTGCCACAGGGATCACTAGTGGGGTCACTGCTGTTCAGTTTGTAGAAATTATAATTGATGGTTTGTGTGAGCAAGGTAAGTTAATCATATACACAACACAAATATTGTTTAAATCACCATGTCTCATGCTGAAAGATGGTTGCAATGGATTGCAAAGTTACATGGTCGTTTACACTCCCAACCTTCAGAGTAAACAACCACTTTAGGTAAATATGTTGGAGATATTTACCTGAAGGCTGCAAAGTTAAGGTGTGGCTCAAGCAACATTCAAAGACCTACTATATTTAAATACCGAATGTTTGTGAATAGAGACAGAAATATTATGCTGTTCAATGCGATGTGTGATATTAAAACAAGGAGCAGGAAGGTTAAACCCAGTAAGCTTTCAACACTACTCTATTTATTTTGAAGCTCTGTTGGTCATTGTATTTCTCCTTAACTAGGCGGACTAAAACCAAAAGTAAACAAACCAAAATAACAAGCCACAAAGTAAGCATCTGTATTGGTTTAGCCATAGAACCAGTCTGGTGGGGAAAAAAAAACCTTTGTAGGATGATCAAGATGTTTTGTAGGATGAAGGCAAGGAGTAATGTCACTTGGAGGGAACTTTTAATGAGTTTAGCTGCTTCAATATACTGAAAGAATAAGTTGCTTAGTAGTTTTTGTTTTAGCCTGACAATCTTTGAGGTCCCGCAGTGCAATCTATTGAGTCTTACAAGAAGAGTGATCTCTGTGTTTCCCTCTGGAGTTTCTCCTACACAAACCATAAGATACAAAAAGAAACAAAATGGCCTTGTCTCTGTATTCTGTCAATGCAATTTCGTAATTTTGTATCTCATTATGTTACTCAACATCGGAAGGGTTTTTTCTTCTTTCAGGCAACTCATTCCATTTTGATGCTGATGCTCTTGGAGGGTGGATTTTCTTCCAACACCAGATTTGTTTCTGCAGGACTGGATGTCTGTAGTTCATGTCTGGAGAGATGCTGCACCACTCCGACACCAATGCAGTCACCAAGTACATTGGCAGCAGTCCTTAAACGATCCCTATCAACAAAAAGACAGTAACATCTGAGAGGTTAGGAACTATTTTCCAGCTCATAACCTCAGATTTTCTTGTGTTTTATCTCATGTTTTTTGTATTTCATTTTGCAAATGTGTCTATTTTTACCTAACACCCTAAAATTATACTTACAAAATCCAGTCGACCATGAGGAGCAGTGATATGTCTTCAGTGGGCAGTCCTGTCGAGCTCAACACAATCAGCATGGATACCATGCCAGCCTGTGGGATACCAGCTGCACCTGTGCTTGCTGCTGTAACAACCAAACTGAACAAAATAAAGCAGTGTAAGAGCAACACTGAATAAATCAACATCACATTAATTAACTCAGGACCTTAGTTTTCTTTCAGTTATGCTTCTAACCCTGTTAAACATCTGATCTGGAAATGTGTAAAAGGGTTTTATTTTAACAATACTATAGATGTGAAGTTTGTCGAAATTTGTTTAATTTGTTTATTCTTTGAATTGATTTTGTTTAGTCATTTATTGACATTTATTGATGTTTTAAGTTGGTGTTTTGATGTTTTACAAATGGCAGCAGTTTCGTGTAGACTTGGCATGAATTTAGGAGATTGTCTAGTGAATGACACCAACATATTCCTCAGTTTAATACTTTCTGTTGATGTATAATTGCTTTTGCATGGCACTGCAGGTCAACAAATTCCCTTCAAAGTACCTGAGAACGATAATCTGTCCGACATTGAAGTCCATGTCGTTGACCTGGGCTATGAATAAAGCTGCCACTGCTTCATAGAGGGCGGCACCGTCCATGTTCATAGTGGCACCTACAGGCAGCATGAAGCGCGTCACCTGTTTGTCCATCTTCAGATTTTCCTCCATACAACGAAGAGTAACAGGCAAGGTTGCAGAACTATTAAAAAGCAAATGAGATTTGAAGTTATGCTTTGAAGTGATTCATTTTTGATTGTTTGCGGTAAATATTTTTAACCTGGATGAAGTCCCAAAGGCCGTGCTGAGAGCCTGGAGGATTCCTCCATAAAACCTCAAGGGATTCTTCCTTGTGACGATAACATAGATGAGCGGCAGCGTGACGCAGCCGTGGATGATCAGCCCAGTGACCACAGTGAGAGTGTACATGCCAACATCACGACCTATTTCTGCTGCGTCCGTCATTTTAACAACCTGCCCAGCCAGCAGGAAGATGATTCCCACTGGAGAATACCTGTTATGAAGAGAGGCGTAATTAAAATGGAGATGCAATTACTTTTCCAAATAGTAGATTGGGACACAGATAAAATCCTTAAAAAGTAAGCATATTTCCACCAAATCATACACTCATGCAGGCTAGCAATTTTAGCTGTCTGAGTCAATTTAAGTTTGATAGGAAGATACAAAGATAATTCAAAATTATGTAAAAGTTTAATAGGAACAAATAAATACTGAAACAGTTCAACTGGTTCATCGATAGTCTTCCCTTCTTACCAGATAGCTATGCTCACAAGACGCATAATGGCTTTATTCATGCAGTTGAATAAATCCCTGAGAGGTTTCCCCTCTGACCCCATGCTGCTCAGGATGAGGCCAAAGGCGACAGAAAACACCAACAAACCCACAACATTGATGCCGTCTGAGGTTCCTGCTGTTGGTGCTAAACAGCAGATAAAACAATCCAAATAAACAACGCAATCAGAAAATAACAATTCATATAATAGCAACAAGGACAACAGCAGACTAAGAAGAGTATGGCAGGACAAAAATGATAACAGATTTATAACAAAAAAAAGACTCACCATTTGTTGATATATTTGTGGCTCCTATTGGATTTCCTGATGAATTACTGCTGGGATTAACTGTTAAATACTATTTAAAAAGCATAGCATCAAAATGTTAGTACTTTACAATTGTTTGATTGTGAGAAAACAAAACAATTGCACCGGCTTACTTTTCTGAAACAAGCTTCCACCAGATTTGAGGGAAACATGTTTCTATGAAATACATAATCATAGAATCATTTTTTATTTAAAATATAAAGTGACAAAAATGTATCTCCACATGACTTTTGTGCAGACCTGATCAGATCCAGGAAAGCATCCACACTGTGCACAGCCTCTGTTTTACCCGGAGACGACTCGGACGTGTGCCTGGATGATTTCCCCGGCTTGATGACAACCGCCAGGAAAATGCCAGTGAACGCAGCAACAACAGTAGTAACCAAGTAGTAGATGAAGGTCCAAAGCCCAATTTTTCCAAAATCTTTTCTGTCAACATTTGAGATGCCTGAAATTTAAAGCGGAAAAGTGGGTAAGACATTTTTGTCATTCTTTATAGATCATCAAATTTTGATTTCAGACAAAAATGACCAGAGATACTACAAAAAATATACAAGTTATTATTGGTCCAATCTTCTTGACAGAACTGGTTTATATCAGCCACATTGGTGAATTTTAAAACTTTAGCTGCCTGTTGAATATCCAGACCTGGGTAATGTCTGGTGAAATTGAACTAAAAAGCTAATTGATGATTTTACATGTAAGATGAACATAAAACCAATGTGGCTTTATTAGTCAAACTGTTTGCTATAGCCAAACTAAAAGCCAAAAAGTTGATCTGACCTGCAATTACACTTGAAACGACAAGAGGAAGCACCATCATCTGCAGCATTCTCAGCAGCAGCTCTCCAGGAAAAGTTAGATATGTTATTTCTCTCTCAGACATGTTAATGTGTCGCAGAGCAAAGCCCAGTCCAATCCCTTAGAGACACAGACATATATACAGTTTTCTGTCAAAGAAAAAGTTTAAAGAAGTTAAGAGAAAATACAACATAAAACTGTCAACTTCTTACCGAAAGCAACAGCAGCCATTGTGAGAAGGACGAAGGCATTCCTCTTGAGGAAAATCCAAATATTAAATCCATTCCTAATTGATCCTACTTCATCTAAGGTCTGAGAACATCTTTCGTTTTTCTCATTGTCTTCGGGTTTAGCAACCTCCACCAACTCTACCTCCGACATGTTCTCAGAGTTTGGAAGCATTGATATCTACGCTATTGCAGAAACATAGAGAAAATGAATGATGAACAGTTTTGCCTGGTGCTTCAATGAATAAATTATTGTTCAAAAGCTGAAACACAATGAGCTGCAGTTTAAAACAAGATATTTACATTTTCCTTCAAGTGTTTCCACTTAAAAGGCTAAACAGTCTTACCAGCTTGAGTTTAGAAATCCTTGATAAAATGAAGCTTTCTCGGACTGAAGAAGCGATTCAGCTTGACTTGTACATCTAATTTTGAGAAACAAAGAAAACAGTCTTGGCCAGCTCTGCTGTTACAGTCTAATGAATATTAGCTGCCACGGAGGTAATAAGTGAAAGATATACATTCAAAGAGAACCGCCTTACTCCCTTCTCAGCATAGTTAATGCTAAAAACCACAAAAATGTCTGAGAAGGAAAAAATACTTACATTCTTTGAATTGTGTTATGCTGTAAAGACTTGGTACAAGATTATATTTTAACAGTGACAGGTTCAAAGTCCATTTGTTTTGTACTTGGACTTATTACACAGAACAAGTTTTACGTTAACAGAGGTCTGATTTGTTCTGTGCTTTGTGAAAGTACTTTTGTTGCAGATTGTTATCTTATTATAAACCTCAATGCATTTTATTGGGCAAAGTTGCTTCATGAAACATGATTGTATCTGTTTCTCCTCTGTATTTGAATCCTCCTCTACAAACAGGCTTATCTTTTTATGGTTAAGGTGATAATTGTGTGGTGCAGCTGTTAAATTGAAATGTTTTTGGATGATTTTTAAACTTTTGTTGAAATTTTTTTTATAGTATTTGCAGATTCACTCAGTTCAGTTTTGTTTCTTAGCATTTTTGATTACAGCTAAAGCTAACTCATAAATTTTAAACATGTTGATGAAAGCCTTTTATTTGATTGTTGACCTTTTGTCCACTTCTAACCACTATAAATTTTTCCTCTGGTTCAGCAAAGAATTGGTTTCTCATTTAGTTAGTGGATCATTAACATCAGTTTCCCCTCTACATTGGTGAGGAGGAGGTTAGAGTAGAGACGCCGTTCTTTTGAAAAAATAAAAATAAAAACAACCGGTTCATTTTCACGCATCTGATTTGGACATCTCCTCCTCCACAAGAAAAGAAAAGACTTAGAAATATTAGTTTTGTGAGAGAAGGTCTTTACTTTTGGTTTTAATTTTTCTGTCATAAAACCATCAGAAGCATGAGCAAAACAATAACATCAAAAACAAAATAAAGCCTCCTTTCCAACAGATTTGTCTTTATTTTCTTAACACTCAAATTTTCTAATCTCATGATTTTAATTCCAACAGAAACTCAACACATGAATTTCTTTCATTTTGGTAATTAGACTCTTGGAGATGGGTTTGTCGCTGCAGGACTGGATTTCTGCAGTTTGTGTCTGGACAGATGCTGCACCACACCGACACCGATGCAGTCACCCAGGACGTTGGTGGCAGTTCGTACGCGGTCCCTGTCAAGATGAAATCTGGCGTTAGAAATGCAGCCCAGAGCCATGATTCTGCTGTTGATTTTCATAGCATTTTTAGTTATTTTAACTGCGAGATGTTTTCTTCTTTGGAGTATGTATTTATTTTATTTAATATTTACATTTTCAAGCTAACAAATGCATGAACTGGTTTACTTACACAATCCAGTCGACCATGAGGAGCAGGGATACGTCTTCAGTAGGCAGCCCAGTCGAGCTCAGTACAATCAGCATGGAGACCATCCCAGCCTGTGGGATACCAGCTGACCCAGTGCTTACTGCTGTCACAATCAGACTGAATCAAGTGAAAAAATTTAATAAGTAAAAGTTGCTTATATGGTTTGGTCACTACTTCCAACATGACAAAATCACCGTACACCAAAAATTGAACATAAAAGTGAAAGGAAAGTTATTCATGTTTCTTAATATTAATTGGAAAACTTGCATGTATTCTGATAATTTAATTTGCCTTCAACACTCCATACACCTGGAATAAACTGTTATGACTGTTAACTAGAATGACTGTATCTAAAGCCCAGGATATCATCAAACTGAGAATTGCAGTCAAAACTTGAAAATTCAGGGGAATCTGACTGAGCCACAGCTGTTTTGCAAGGACTGTAAAAAGTAAAAAGAGAGCTTTTTCTACATGCAGGATCCATTTTAATGTTTGTTTGTCACTCAAAGGTGATATATTATGCTTCCTTGCACAGGTTAGGATAGCTCTATGGTCTATACAAAAGATGTTCATTAAATTTTTTTTGCACAAAATCATTCTTAAATAATGAGATTTTAGTCTGCTCAGTTCTGCCTACTCAGAGGTGTTTTTAGAATGAGAAGTTTTAGGGCTTTTAAATCCAAATAAGTTGCTGCTGGCCACGCTCCCCAATTCAACATTTACGCATGAAAACGACTGCAAACAGATGTGCAATTATACAACCATGTATGTTTAAAAAGCAGAAGTAGAGCCTCCTGCACAACCAACAAGAAGCAAGGGGTTTTCTGGATTGTAAACAAAAAAACACTTGTCTTTTCCAGCAGGCATTGTACAGCGCATCCAGTGGTAAAACAAACTGACCAAATGTGCTGGAGCTCTGCTTGTTTTGCGAGGTGACAGGATGGGCTTCTCTGGGGTTGCTAGGTAACGGGCAGTGCCTGCTGATTTGTGACATGACAGCTCATTTTCCATATACTAACAAACATGAACTTATTGCCTAGTGAAAGTATAAAAACATTCAAAATGTGAGTTTTGCTAAATTGGTCCCCTTTAAAGTTCCAATAAAACATATTGAAGTTTTTGGTTGAAATGTCGAAAAAGTGGAAAGGGAATAAATACTTGTGCAAGGGGTTGAAGGTACCTGAGAACGATAATCTGTCCGACATTGAAGTCCATGTCGTTGACCTGGGCTATGAATAAAGCTGCCACTGCTTCATAGAGGGCGGCACCGTCCATGTTCATAGTGGCACCTACAGGCAGCATGAAGCGCGTCACCTGTTTGTCCATCTTCAGATTTTCCTCCATACAACGAAGAGTAACAGGCAAGGTTGCAGAACTATTAAAAAGCAAATGAGATTTGAAGTTATGCTTTGAAGTGATTCATTTTTGATTGTTTGCGGTAAATATTTTTAACCTGGATGAAGTCCCAAAGGCCGTGCTGAGAGCCTGGAGGATTCCTCCATAAAACCTCAAGGGATTCTTCCTTGTGACGATAACATAGATGAGCGGCAGCGTGACGCAGCCGTGGATGATCAGCCCAGTGACCACAGTGAGAGTGTACATGCCAACATCACGACCTATTTCTGCTGCGTCCGTCATTTTAACAACCTGCCCAGCCAGCAGGAAGATGATTCCCACTGGAGAATACCTGTTATGAAGAGAGACGTAATTAAAATGGAGATGCAATGTCAAATACTTACCAGCAGACGGAGCCAAAAATAAATATTCAAGCTTATGGGAGACGATAAGCATTTTGCATTTTCCTGTAAGTCACACTATAGATGAATGCCTTATGTCATGCAATCTTAAAGTAAAGTTCATTAGGAAGATATATTGAAAACAATGAGCAAACAACATTATAGAAATATCAGAAACTCCGGCATATAAAACAAAAACAGATAAATCAGCAGGTTTAAATGAGTCTTCCCTTCTTACCAGATAGCTATGCTAACAAGACGCATAATGGCTTTATTCATGCAGTTGATTAAATCCCTCAGAGGTTTCCCCTCTGACCCCATACTGCTCAGGACAAGGCCAAAGGCGACGGAGAACACCAACAGACCCACAATATTGATGCCGTCTGAGGTTCCTGCTGTTGGTGCTAAACAGCAAAGCAAAAGTATTGCTGAAATATTTACGTACTGTAAATGAACAAGATTCACAGCATCATAATGATTGTAATTAAAACTTTGGAGTTCCCCATAAATCAATATCTGGAATCTAACTTTTTAATTCATGACATTTACTTTATAAATTTGCTGAGGATACAGACCTGTATATTGCAACTTTCTGATGTTTCCTGTGGACTACTTTATTATATTTTATATTTTATACAAAAACATTTACCTTTAGAAGTATTTTTACTGCACTGTACTTTCACTTGAATTATATTATTATGTAGTATAGCTATCTTACTTGAGTAAAATACCTGACAACGGTGAGTATTTAATAAAAACATAGTATGTTGAAGTGAGACCTCTGTACATATGTTTTGTTGTTCTAATGTGTCTGTTGAGCCATTTGGAGACAAAATGCATATAAATTGTTACTGGAAGTACTTTACCCTGTTCTAACAAATATATACAATCCCTAATGCAAATACTGGATTGATACGTTTTATATAGTAAAATATGATTTAGTAAACTGCTTCTTCAGCTTAAATAATATTATTTAGAAGAAAAAATACTCACTTTTGGTAGTCACATTACTGATTCCTAGATGGTTTATTGCAGATTCCTTGCTGTGATACGTTGTTCTATACTGAATAACATTTTTACCAATTAGTAATTGATGACATCACATATTTAAAAGCATCAGAACCGTCTTACTTTTCTGAAACAAGCTTCCACCAGATTTGAGGGAATCATGTTTCTGCAGGAAATAAATAAATGTGAGGGTGATTCTTTATCAAATATGCTAAAAACAAAACAAAACAAAACAAAACAAAACAAAACAAAACAAAACCTGATGAGATCCAGGAAGGCATCCACACTCTGCAGAGCCTCTTTTCTGCCAGCAGAGGGCGCTGATGCACGCCTGGATGATTTCCCCGGTTTGATGAGAACTGCCAGGGAAATGCCAGTGAAGACAGCCGTTACCGTGGTTACCAAGTAGTAGATGAAGGTTCGCAGCCCGACTTTCCCAAAAGCCTCCCTGTCTACATTTGACATGCCTGAAATACAAAGAACCAGTTAGTATTTACAGATTTTTACTGGTTTTTGAAACCTGTATGAACCCATCCCATCACAAAGTGCACAAGTGAGATAGATAGTTCTTTAGCAACGTTTTTATAGATTTGTTTTTATTTTTTTTTTTTCATAGCTTTAACAAGCCTCTTCTACACTCAAATTTGCTCAAGTTGAACTGTAGATCTTTACCTGCGATCAGAGTCAAAACGACAAGAGGAAGCACCATCATCTGCAGCATTCTCAGCAGCAGCTCTCCAGGAAAAGTTAAATATGTTATTTCTCTCTCAGACATGTTAATGTGTCGCAGAGCAAAGCCCAGTCCAATCCCTTAGAGACACAGACATATATACAGTTTTCTGTCAAAGAAAAAGTTTAAAGAAGTTAAGAGAAAATACAACATAAAACTGTCAACTTCTTACCGAAAGCAACAGCAGCCATTGTGAGAAGGACGAAGGCATTCCTCTTGAGGAAAATCCAAATATTAAATCCATTCCTAATTGATCCTACTTCATCTAAGGTCTGAGAACATCTTTCGTTTTTCTCATTATCTTCGGGTTTAGCAACCTCCACCAACTCTACCTCTGACATGTTCTCAGAGTTTGGAAGCATTGATATCTACATTATTGCAGAAACATCGAGAAAATGAATGATAGTGCGTGAATGAATAAATAACTGTTCAAAAGCTAAAACACAATGAGCTGCAGTTTAAAACAAGATATTTACATTTTCCTCCAAGTGTTTGCACTAAAAAGTCTAAACAGTCTTACCAGCTTGAGTTTAGAAATCCTTGATAAAATGAAGCTTTCTCGGACTGAAGAAGCGATTCAGCTTGACTTGTACATCTAATTTTGAGAAACAAAGAAAACAGTCTTGGCCAGCTCTGCTGTTACAGTCTAATGAATATTAGCTGCCACGGAGGTAATAAGTGAAAGATATACATTCAAAGAGAACCGCCTTACTCCCTTCTCAGCATAGTTAATGCTAAAAACCACAAAAATGTCTGAGAAGGAAAAAATACTTACATTCTTTGAATTGTGTTATGCTGTAAAGACTTGGTACAAGATTATATTTTAACAGTGACAGGTTCAAAGTCCATTTGTTTTGTACTTGGACTTATTACACAGAACAAGTTTTACGTTAACAGAGGTCTGATTTGTTCTGTGCTTTGTGAAAGTACTTTTGTTGCAGATTGTTATCTTATTATAAACCTCAATGCATTTTATTGGGCAAAGTTGCTTCATGAAACATGATTGTATCTGTTTCTCCTCTGTATTTGAATCCTCCTCTACAAACAGGCTTATCTTTTTATGGTTAAGGTGATAATTGTGTGGTGCAGCTGTTAAATTGATATGTTTTTGGATTATTTTAAAACTTTTGTTGACATTTTTTTTAGTATTTGCAGAATCACTCAGCTCAGTTTTGTTTGTTAGCATTTTTGATCACAGCTAAAGCTAACTCGTGAATTTTAAGCATGTTGATTAAAGCCTTTTATTTGATTGGTAATCTTTCGTCTCTAACCACTGTAGAAGAAGTTATAGAGTTTAAGTCCAAACTAATACCATGAAAAGTGGTTTGATTAAAAAAATGACTCGGGGAAACTTTTCTTCAGGATTAATTTTAAAATGTTTCTTCTAACTTAAAGATGATCTAATATGCTTCCTTGAACAGGTTAGGACAGGTCTGTAGTTTATGCAAAACTTGTTCTTTACATTTTCTTTGCACAAAATTAATCTTAAATAATGAGGTTGTAGTCTGCTCAGTTCTGCCTATTTTGAGCTCCTTTCAGATGTTTTAGGACCTCTTGTCACTTTAAATCCAAATAAGCTGCTGCTGGCCACGCCCCCAAACTCAACGTTTACACTCACATGTAAAAATGGCTACAAACAGAAAAGCAGTTATGCAACTGTACATGTTTGAAAAGCAAAACTAGAGCCTCCTGCACAATCAAAAAGAAGAAAATGGTTTCTGGATGGAAATCAACAATAAAACACTTGTGTTTTCCAGCAGCCATTATACAGAGCATACAACGCTAAAACCAACTGACCAATTGTACAGGAGCTTTGCTTGTGTTGCTAGGTGACAGGATGGGCTTCACTGTGGTTGCTAGGAAATGGGCAGTGCCTGTTGATTTGTGACATTACAGCTCATTTTCCATATACCAACAAACATGAACTTATTGCCTAGTGGAAGTATAAAAACATTCAAGATGTGAGTTTTACAAAGTAGGTCCCCTTTAAAGTTCCAATAAAACACATTGAGGTTTTTGGTTGAAATGTGGAAAACGTGTAAGGGGTATGAATAGTTGTGCAAGGGGCTGAAAGTAAGCAAAACAAGGTACCTGAGGACAATAATCTGTAAGTTATTTGTTTCTCAAATAATTTATGCTGATACCTCTAAATAAAACAAATGCTTTTATGGGTCACTTAATCAAAGAAGTTACACTTATTTCATTTGTACAAATAAAAACACATTTAATCAGATTTGCTGGGACCAAGGTAAACAAGCAAACTGTGTAAGTTTTCCAGCCACTTAAATGCTGTTGTGTGTCATGTTTGCTCTGGTTACCGCCCACATGAGTTAAATCACAGAACAAACACAGGTCAGAGTTCACAGAAAAGAGGTATGTTAGTGCAAGTACGTAAAACTAAAAGCTGGCGCTACATGTGGGTGAAGTTCCTGACTGTAAAACCAGTTTTTAAGAGCTTATTTAGACATGCAAACAAGGGAATGTCAGAAATAAAAAGTACATTTTTCTCATGAGAAAATGGCTTAAATCAAGCTTTACACAGTTTGAATGGATTTGTGTAAAAAAAAATAATCTTGGTTCCATATGATAAAATATGATTTTTACACTATAAAAAATTGTGTTGTCATATTTGCTAATTGTCTTGACAGTTTGGACTGATTCCACAGGGCAGAATATCTACAACAAATCCTCTGTAATCAGGCGATCCTCAGTCATACATGGTTAACATCCTGAGCCTGTGTTAGTTACAGAGGTTTCAGGTCAGCGCAGAGCTAAAGTCCCTAATATACTCCGATGGTGAACTGCTAACAATCTTTCTGAGAAATGATGAGGACATGTAGAGTTTTTTGTAATACTAAGAACTATTTTCAAATTATTTTGCTCTTGTTTCACAGTTTCAGTGACCAGAAAAGCTCTACATGTTTCATTCTCTGCAGATGTTTCACTCAGGAAGATCATTAGTGGTGCACATCTCCTACTTACCTTTACGTTGTCATTAATTATTGATCAATTTAAAAAATTTCCCAACCTCATAAACAGTGATGATGTTTATGAGACTGGAGTTGTTTTCAGATGTTAGCTTTTCTCCCTCTGACTAGTTGTTAGCTTTAGCTTTAGCTCCAGCTAATCTTGATTTAAAATAAATGAGTTAGCCCCCTCAGTTAGCAAATTATGACATTTTAACATTTACTTAAAAACTTAAAGGGCTGGTTGTTCCAGAATGTATTGCAAAACCTGTTAAACTGTTAAAATATCAATAAATAGCTGTTTGTTTCAGGATTCAGTTTTTCTTAAATTAAATAATATTGGACAACTTTGCACACTGGTCTATTCAGGATTTTAAATCAAAATTACAAATTTTGTGGTGCTAATTTTGAAATATTTGTAAGGAATTTTCACTATGTGTGCACTAATGTTTGGCTTTAAATGTGACTTTTTATTAATCGCAGTATCGGTCACAGACTATAACTGGACATCAACTAAGCCTGAGGCAGCAGTCCCTTCTTTTTTGACTTCTGAGAAAAATTTGCTGTGAAAATCAGAAAAAATTGTGGGGGTCTGTTGACTTTGTGTGGATTCTGCATGAATTTTGCGGATTTGTGAAAAACTGGAGGGACTTATTGATGTGATTTGGAGTTTAAGGGGCCATATAAAAAGCCACAGTGGTCCAGATTTGGCCCCCGGGCCTCGAGTTTGACATCGGTGTGATAGAGAAATGTAATCACAAAATTACTGATTAATAATCACTTTAACGCGTTGCAACATGTATAAGATTTGTGCTGGTTTAGACATGAAAACCACAACATGCAGAGCTGCTGTCCTGCTCTGCTGCGTCTTGTTGACAAGGTAAATACTCTTCATTGTCTGAAGCCTGTCGATTATGAGCTAAGCTCTTTAGCGGTTTTACTCCAGCCACAAGTTATTGATACACTCTAATCATTATGGCACACTATAGGCAAGCTTTCAAATTGGGATGTTTGTACTCTGAGGAACTCTACAAGATAAATTTGAAAACATTAAATAAATTTGTCAAATATTTGTCCTTTTTTACAAGTCATACCGAGTCAGACTCGGGTTTTTTTTTAAGCTATGGCATTTCTCATGAATCAAATGGTGGGCAGTAAGCTGAAGAGTTTTGCTGATGGAGGTGGCGAAGGTGGCAGCAAAGCCGGAGCAGATGGAAAAGAAACAGCCGAGTCCAAAGGCATGTCCAGGGAGGAGTTTGAGGAATACCAGAAGCAGCTGGTGGAAGAAAAGTGAGTAAAAAAATAACATTTTATTACCAATATGATGTTACAAATCTTGACAACACAAAAACTAACAGTGGATTCCCCAGGAGGAAATGCTGTCTTGACTTAGTTAAACAAAAATGTCAAATAGCAACATTCTTAATGTAAAATACAATTAGAGTCTTTTCTCAGCTGACTGACAAGTCAGAAAAATTCAAACAGATTGTCTTAAAACAACATAAAAGAAGCTTCTTCTTTGTCTCAAATAAAATTAGAGGAAAGGCTGATCGCTAATAACAACGAAGGAATTTTACTGCATGGATTCAGAGCATTTAGTTTCCGCTGAGTGATGTTACCATGTGGGAAAGATTTAGTTCAATTCTTACATCTGTCTGTGGAAACTGAACACATCTGAATACAAAAAGTACATACCTTTATATGCTATATGCATGCACCTCCTTACTGTATTACCTTAAGGTAAATAGTCAGGAGTGTATATCCTCTTTATAAAAACGTGCAATAAAAAAGACGAAACATTCTAAAGCCACAAAATTATAGATTACTATGGAGGGTCGGCGACAGAAAAACGGAGGGCTTTGACTGGAGAGCTTTTAATGAAAAAAAAACAAAACGCGCTCCACAATGTCCAGCTTCCATTTTGCTCAGAAATCTTCTTTCTCCATTTGAAGAAGCTTCAACGTGTTTTAGTGTTATCCATAAACATTTCATTTTCATCATTTCACCCAACTGAACATTGATTTTTTTCCACGGGTCGTTTTGCGGCTCTTCAAGCTCGTCTTAGCGAGAAGCCAGTTGCCAGGACAACGTTACCCTCATTAATTAAACACAATCTCATTAATTTACTACAAAATGCCGAATGAAACTATTAATGTAAAGGTAAACCTGGCTTAATAAAACTAAAACTTTCAGGGCTTGTCAGAGTAGTGAGCACTTTTCAACTCGTTTTGGACTCGTTTTAGTTAACTAAAGTTTACTACCTTGTGTTATGTTGTTTAAATGAAGGAATAGGTTTATTTTTCTCAATGACTGTCTGACCTTAAATGCCCTTTCAGCAGGTGAGGTCTGTTCTTTTTAAAACTGTGTCTCCAGGCCACTTGTGATGCACGTATGACATCAATGGATGTGGGCCGGGTTTACCGGGTAGCTTTAGGTAGGGGTTTATTTCCTCGAGGCTCAAATTAGACAGAGAAGCAGATTAAGCTTGTGTGTAACAACCTGTCAGGACAGAAACCACCATTAAACACATCTCTTAGCCAGGGCCCTTTAAAACAATAATTATTTAATCACCTTACGTTCTCATTTGGCGCTGAACTCTTTGTTTCCTCCAATTAGGTGAAAGCAACTTGTAATGAAGATCTCGTTGCCAATGAGAAAGTCAGAAGTGATTTACCCTTTTGTCCTCACAAAAAAAGCATTAATTAAATATATTTTTCTTTTTTTTTTTCTTTTTCTTTTTTGCTTTTTAATCACTAGCCTGGGTTTTATTGTAAATGTCATCCACAAAATGTATTCATCCTGGATGATAGCTAATTAATCAACAGAAGAAATGAGTTTCTGGTCACTGTGTCCCTTTTTATGTGCTCCAGTCGTTTTTTTTATGCTTATCTGACTTTCTCTGCAAATTTAAAAAAGCGTTATCCCGCAGGACATCTTACACCATCTCTGACCTTTATTGGTTTCTCTGCAACAACAAAATCTTACAGAGTATTTTTAGACTCGTTTCTAGTGCAAATATCTTAGTGCACTTGAAATAAGACAAAATAACTTACAAGTAACTTTTTAGCAAGAAATGGAGGCTTATTTCAAGTAAATAATTCCTTAGTATTGATGAAAAAGTGATAGTTTCATTGGCAGTATAATTAACTTATAAGTAACATGGGAAAATGTCTCGTTAAAAGTCAAATAATCTGCTAATGGAACTAGCACTTTTTCCTCAATATTTCCTCAAAACAAGCTCCTATATCTTGCTAAAAAGTTATTTGTAAGTTAGTTTGTCTTATTTCAAGTGTACAAAGATATTTCCAGTAGAAACTATGTCAGAAATACTTGGTAAGATTTAGTGTTTTTACAGTGAACCCTATATTCGTGCGCTTAGGGACAAATAGCTAAAATCCACATATGCATGAAACGCCCTCTAAAAAGACTTAAAACGGTGTTTTATAGTTTAAACAACAAATATACCTAAATATATCACACACAGTGGAAACAGTTTCAGCATACTGGAAAAATATCAAGTTTTCCTCATTTCTGCTTTGTAAACACCAGCCAGCAGTCAAACAGTATTTGAAAGAAAGCTGCATTTATTGCAAATCTTTTGTTCTACTAAGAAATCTTTGACAGGTTTTAATACTAGATAGACTTTTTGGAGGCTTAAAGTTGGTTTCAGTTTATCTGCTGAACCTCCTGTGACCTTCAGTGTCTGCTCCAAAACTGTGTCCGAGAAAGAGCGGACACTGTCCTGGCGGCAGAGACGTGCGAGGTGAGAGGACAATCCTGACCGAGACATTAAGCAACTGAGGATTTATGCCGAGCTGCAGCTCTTGAGGAAGCTAATCTTATTAAAGCAGGGTTAGGAGGACCACCCTTAAATAGACACAGGGTAAATCTAGCAACATGGAAACTGACATATAACACTGATAATGACATTATTGCAGAATTGGGCTAATAACACAAATGACGTCAGCTCAGAGACTCCAGAGACGCAAATCAGGATTCAGGAGGTCAGTTCATGTCCGCCTGGATTATAAACAGCCGAGTCGCACTGTGAAGCACTTTGCACCCCAGCTTGGTTTTAAAAAGGACAAACGCTTAAGGTGTTTTAAGGCTGCAGTCAAAAATCCCCAAATCACACAAGAACTGGAGAAAGAAACTGATTAGATACATTATCCATCAAACTGGCTGTTTATTGACAAAATGTGTAAAAATCCTTTAGAGAGGATCATTTTTCATTGCAGCACAATCAAACCTTTAGAGTTTATTTATTTAATGGTGTAAAAAAAAATCCACATTACATAAATTATTCTTATTGAAACCCCCCAGTACCACAATCATTGCCAATCCCTGAATTGCATTTGCAGAATTTTTAAAGTTGAAAACATTTACATTTGTAATTCTTTAATTCTTAAGAATAGATGACCGTTTCTAGTTTCCACTATTCAAAAAATGAAATACAAGAGAATGAGAACCTCAAGTTAGGCAGACAAGTGTTTATTTTTATAAGTCTGTAGTTAAAACTTGTCTACAGTCAGAGGAATAATTTAAAAAGTTTCAACCATGTGGAGTGAAGATTTTACAGAGCGATTAGTATCAAGATTAGTCCTTGATACTGTAACAGTAATCTTTACAGATTTATGTAACAGTAGTTTTATGTAACTACTGTTACATAAAAGTCAGTAGTGCCACAAAAATTTAAAAGTAAACATGCATATAAAACCGATCTTGAACTATAAACTATACGTTGTCTGAAGATCCAAAGTTGTATTTTGTCACAAAATATTGTTGGCAATCCTATTTAAAGTTTATTTTAAGGGGAAAACAATTGTTCTTGTCTGTGGAGGAAATTTTGTTTTTGAGGCTTCTTTGTAAAATGTTGATTGAGATTTCCTTTTTTGGAGAAAAAGAAAAAAGGATTTACTTTATATGAAAGTTTAAATAGACCCTCCAGGATTAGACAGAGAAGTGGAAAATTTGTTTCCACTTTTGTTATGGTACCATTAAACCCCCTTTCATAATTTTTTACCATTTTAAAGCAACATATAAAGCCAGGAAAATATATCAGACAGATATCAGAACAGACTGACCGACACTGAAACATGAATTATAATCATTGTTTGGTCAGTCATGTATCGTGGTACAATAGAATAAATCCAAAACCAAACAAGTTTTTTTCTCTAAGAACAAAAAAAATAAAAAATCAAGAAACACAGACAGGTTCAGGATAAAGTCGTGGAGAAACTTAAAACAATATCCCAACATTTCCAGAACTTATTCAGCTTTTTTCAGTGGATTAATCAAAACATATATAGAGTTTGGCACGGTTACAAAACATGACCATCTAAACTGACAGTTCAAGTAACAAAAACACAAATCAGTTTAGAAACCTGAGGAAACTCAAGACATTTAGCAGAAAACTCCACAAATATGGAGTTTTTAAAAGTGTGGGAGGAAATATCTGCTGTTGAGGAAAAAGTCATTAGAAGATCAGGAATGTGCATAATTGGGAATTTACTGCAATTTTTTCTCAAAAATTGTCAAAAAATTTCTTACTTGCACTAAACAGCTGCCTCAGCCTTAACTGATGTCAGATTATAGTCCATGATCTATACAGCGAGTAAGAAAAAGTCACATTTACAGTCATAAATAAGCGCAAATCTTTCCAAATTAGTGCCACAAACTCTTTGATTTTTACTGCAAAAGCTCACAAAAAAAATAATGAATCCTGGAGGAAATGAAAAGATGTTCAATAATATATAATTTTAAGGATTCATTGATATTTTAGCAGTTTGTGAACAAGTTTTATCAATACAATCTGGCACAACTGGCTCTTTAAAAGCATTTATCATCTTGATTTGGTCCAAAACAAAAGAGTTTGACACCCCTGACTTACAACAGATGAGAAGTAAAATCTGTGCAAAAGCCAGCAGTGATGCAAACACCCAATTATAAAGTTATGCAGTCTTAACAGCTGGAAGAAAGGATCTGTGATGATGCTTCTTTGTGCACTCAGGATGCAGCAGTCTGTCAGTGAAGGAGCTCTCCAGTTCTGCAGCAGCTTCATGCATGGGATGGGAGATGTTGTCCAACAATTATGCTATTTTAGCCAGAGTCCTGCTGCCTCCCACCTCCTGCTCTGGGTCCAGGGGGCATCCCAGGACAGAGCTGGCCGTCCTGATGAGCTCACCTGACCTAAACAGAAGCTGGTCAAAGTTGATAGGAGAATCGTTGAACCTGAAAAAGAAACCTGTTAGTGTCTGCGAAAGCCTGGAGGCTCAGATGGAGGAACAACAAGCACAAACATGCAGCCAGGGATGCAGTAAAACGGATACAATCAAAGCATATTTATGTCTTGAAGCGGCACAAACTCTAATCAAACAGCAAATTAATGAACGTACCATGCATCAGATTTAGCAAAATGCTACTTTCCACCTGAATTCCCATAAAAACCTAAAAACTGATGGAAATATATCCACTTCATCCAATCTCACTGAACTGGGGACTTTTTCAGGGAGGAATGGGGAAAAACGTGAACCTCTTGTACCCAGAACCAGAACATGAACTCGGATAGGAAGTGAGCGGGCTGCTCTTTCCTCAACACAAACATTATTATCATGTGGTAATGCTGCTGGTGCTGAGATACCGCTTTACAAAGAAAGGCTTTGCTCCTCGCCACCTGCTTTGTCAACCCATTAACCTTTTAATTCGCCCCTCTGCTGCAATACCTGCAAAACATTTCAATGTTTGGATGTCAGCTCCTGAGAAGGTCAGCTATGGATTTATAGCAGTCACAATGAGCTGTGTAACAGGAAACACTGTAAAGAAATACAAATAAAAAGACTTAAGTGTGTACGTTGATGTTATTTTTATGAGTCAAGAGTTTGTTCTTTAGCTGCTTTCTGTCTTATCTGTCGTGTTTCTGTTCTGCAGGATTCAACGAGACCAAGACTTTGCAACAAAAAAGGCTGAGAGGGCAAACCTGAGAGTCGCACTCAGAGATAAATACCGACTACCGGATGTAAGGAGCTCTAATCACTCTCTATCTGTTTGATTATTAACATCTGAATGCATTGTTTCAAATAAAAAATACTAAAAAAATTATGACTTACTCTCTCTTTATTTATGCCAAACTAAGACATCTTGTGAAGTTTGGGAGCTGTCTGGGGGCCATACTGACTCTGATTGGCAGGAAAAGCTTTAAAAGTAAAAGTTTTTAATTTTAAATGTCAGATTCAGTTTACAAAAAGAAATTAAACACACCTGCCCTCCATTAAAGAAAATACAATACACACATTTGGATTAAACATTTCTTGAATAAGAAACAAAGCCAAACATCACAACTTGAGATGATAAAGGGAGGAAAATCTAATAAATAAACAAAATAAACAGAATATATTGTGGAAAGGTTTGACTCTGAAAATAAATTTAGCCTCCATAGAGGTGAGTTGATCCTCACCTCTATGGAGGCTGTTGGAGGTTTTTGCATTTCCAATTTAATTCTGCAAATGTTTCCTTCATTTTCATGAAGTCTAGCATTTATTGCACATTGCAGGGCAGTGCATTTGTTAGCAATGTTGCCTTGTAGCAAAACGTTACAGATTTGAAACTTTTTGCATGTCAAGCAAAGTCAAGTTCATTTTATTATTCAAATCGGTAAAAAGAAGAGAAAAATGTTTTCTATCTGAGCAAACCCAGCCAACTACATCAATATGCAGGAATCCCTCAAGCTGAGGTTGCATGTCACAACGAGAGAGAAGTAAAAATTACAGCAAATATTTGATACAAAGTTTAAATGGGTAAAACTACTAAACACTGAGGGGGTTATGTAAACTTTAAACTTAAAGAAAGTAAAAAGCAGTTTTCAAAACAATTGATTCTCATCATTAAGCTAATAGAAATAGTTTTAGTACGTTTAAGTGAACTTAATGTTAGTGTGTGAAGAAAATATCTTGTTTTTTTATGGAAAATATGTCACCTTCAGATTAAACTGTATTTATAAGTGTATGTAAAATGTGCTTTGATGTGCAAAACATTTTAAATTACAACTCAATCATTCAGCTGCCATTTTTTGCTGCCTTTTTGATCAGAGCGCTCTCGACGGCGCCATGATTCAGATGGCCGGAGACGACGTTGACCTGCCGGAGGAACTGGCCAAAATGGTAGATGAAGATGAGGAGGAGGAGGAGACCAACGATTCATTCCTCCACAAGCTGCAAAACATGGACCTGGACGAACTGAAAACCAAGGCCCAGAGCAGAGTGAGCGAGCTCCGGCAGACTGCGGAGGAGAAATGCGTCCTCATGTGAACCCCTGCAGTACGGCCCAGACGAGCTTTAGTATTTAAATTTAGCTCCGGCGTCACTATCCTTTTTTTTTTTTTTATTTACTTGTTTTACAGGTCTGGACAGTTTCCTCACAGAAAAGTTTCTTCTTTTCGATGTGAGGCTTTATGTCTGCATTTCTTTCACTGGGAAACATTTACCGGTAAATGCTTCTTGTACAGATTTATAGAAGTTTTATGCTCGCAAAGTTTGTGTAAATAAACATGTAAAAGTACAAAAATGTCTGCTTTTCTGGAAGGTGTGTAAAGAATGAAAGATTTATATCCTCTACTCAAAATTACAAATGTTATGCATATACAGCTCTGGAAATAATTAAGCCACCACTTAAAATGATCAGTTTCTCTGATTTGACTCTTTATAGGTTTATGTTTGAGTAAAATGAACATTGTTCTTTTATTCTATGAACTACTGACATGTCCATGACATTCCAAGTAAAAATGTAGTATTTATTAGCAGAAAATGAGAAATGGTCAAAATAACAAAAAAGTTGCCGTGCTTTCACACCTCAAATAATGCAAAAAAAAAAAAAAAAAAAAAAAAAGTTTATATTTAATTAAAAAAAACTATAATAATGTTT